CTAGCTTAACAGATCAACTTAAAAAAAAGGATTACTCTTATTAAATATAGAGCTTAAAATTGATGCTGAAAGGTAATTTCTTAGATATCATATGTTATAATACAGTATTCTCTACAAAGAAGTTAAAAGTAATGCTTGCTGTTTTAATCAATCAAACAGAAGATTCTTAGGGTAGTCAGAAAGATTACTGGGTTTTTTAAACTGTTGCTAGTGATAGTTGAAGTCATGATGGAGTGATTCTGTTGTTTGCTTTTAATAGATGCCCAAAAAGTGGTTGTGGCAATCAATAAACTGTGTTACATGAAAAAAGACAGCATGCGCTTTGGAAATGACACTCCAATGGAGTGGAACATTTCCAATGGAGGCATTTTTTTTAGCATTTCCAATCATTGAAACTTTCTGAATGTTTCAATGATTGGAAATGCTAAAAAACAAGCATGCTTTTCCGCAAGTTGTTGAAGCAAGTCAATATTTTGTAAAAGCTTTCTGCACTCATTGTCTGAAAATTGCCCTCAGAGAAAAGGTTCTTGTTAAAAGTCCATCATTTTTTTCATCAATTCCACTGTAGACACAGACTCTTGATGAGGTGGTTAACAACACCAAAAAGTAAGTGAAGTTCCATGGGTGGAATGAATTCCAAGATGAGTGTTCCTAAGGTAACTTATGCAAAACATTCTGAAAACAAAAAAAATCGAGGAAGTGGGGCGGGTCTCAAACCACAGACATTCCGTTTACGAAGCCAACGCCTTATCCAAATAAGCTAAACGCGCGTTTAAGTAGGATAAAAATTAATTTACTTGTTTTAAAAATTATTGTTCTGTTTTTCATATAAAAAAATGAACTTAATTAAAATTAACTAAATTAATTGACTTATTGCAAAACTAATTATTGAATATTGTATAGTCATCAAGCAAGAGTGTGTATGCAAAATTTGAAGAAAATCTATCATCAGGAAGTGACTCAAAAATTAATTGCAAGATTTGATGTTCACAGACAAACAAACAGAGACGACGAGTTAATAAAAGCAATGGGAAATGCTTTACCTAACTATACTTTACATTTTTATACGTTCATAGAAAATTTAGAAAATCTTCATTTTTGAACGTTTTACAGTTCCAGATTAAGGAATAGTTCAAGCATGTTCTGGTCGCAAAAGCGATATTAGTAAGGAGTAAAAAATTTTATTATATAACAAAATGACAAGACTAGTTTTGGTCTTTTGCCAGTTACTTATGTCTACAAATGCTGCACGGTGCTCTTTAACAAAACCATTACGTAAACCATCATCTCCATGGAGAAGAGCAGAGCGAGCCGAGCAATTGTTACTAAATCTAACAGATCTCATGAGCGGTTGGATTTACATAATTTTTTCAATATTTCAAAGATAACTGAACCTGCTAAAAATTTGCTTAGAAAAAAGTATAGTTTTTGATTTTTTTAAAAAGTTATTGCCTAAGGTTTGCGGAGCTGCTCACTTTTCCCAGCGGGGTAAGTTGAGCAATTGTGTGAGGTACGCTAAGCAATCTATAAATAGATGAATATGCATGGTACGAAACTTTGGTGAATCATTAATAAAAGTTTTACTAACAGTAAGCATGTATTTAATTTATAAACTTTTTTTTTACACTTTTTTATTATACTTTAATGAAGTAAGAGAAGAGGAAAAACTAAATAAGTAAGAAAGTATATCTTGAACTTTGAAGCCCGATTTTTTTGTTATTACTACAATTTTTTTATGTAATTAGTTTAGGTGCTCCCAGAAGTCCTTACGGTCTTATCACAAAGTACCGCGGCAGAGCATTTAACAAGAAGTTCACGCCTCCTTCCGTACCAATGTCACTTGTTGGGCTATAGCTGGTGTCGAACCTAGGACCTTTGGGTTCTAAGCCAGAACTCTAACCACTGAGCCACGGCTACTCAATTTAAAAATTACTATTTTAAAAAATATATATAATCAATGTACCGCTAATTTGTTTCTTATCAAATTTGTTTTTTAGTGTTCGATAGTTTAATGTTATTTACTTTTTTCAATGCTGTTTAACTTAATCCTACTAGACAAGATGACAAATCAGTTAAATTTTATATAGAACAGTAAGACTTAAAAAAAATTTACTATTTTTAATTGAAAGTCCGATAAATTGGTAAAATATTAACACTTAAGTAATGGCAGATAAAAAATATTTATAGGTATTCAAGAAAAAAATAGTGAAAAAATATTTTTTTACTTTTTTGGTTCGAAATTAAAAAAGTGCCCGTGTACCTTACTTAACTGCTTTTCAGCAATCTTTTGTTGGACATTATGTTAACATTGTGTTTTGTTGGACATTATGTTAACATTATGTTAACATTGACAAGTGCATTGCCTTAACATTCTAATTCTTTAACTTTCTTTCGTTAAATGTTTTGTCATGTAACGCGTAGTTTTTGAGATATTTTAATTGCAAAACTTACTCCTGTGTTTAACTAGCCCTACTCTACCCTATTTTAAAAAAGGCATGAATATAAAGCTATATACACACTAATAGAAGATAAAGCTATATACACACTAATAGAAGATAAAGCTATATACACACTAAAAAGCATTTTTTTTAACATCTAAAGTAATCTAAATATTTAGTAATTTAGTAATTGAATTGTTTCTGAGTGGAAACATCAAATTGCCATAGAAACGTCAAATTTTTTACAAAAACCAAAAAAGTAGAGGATTTAGGGGTCTGCTTTTAAATAAATCCAGACCGAAGTATTAGGCCATGACAAATTTGACAAATTTGCTAAAAATAATTATTACCCCCAGCAAGTTTACTTGTTAACTGCCGTAAGCAAAAACTTTGATTTTTTACAGTCTGTGAAGTTTTACATATTTTAAAAGAAAGTTGCGCTTCATCAAAAATATGTTGTTTTTTTTTGTTGTTTTTTTTGTTCAGTCTCGGAAAAGACTGGTTTTACAACTTTTTTTTTTTTCATTTCAAAATCGCTTTTGTTTTAAATACAGACAAAAAAAAAATACAAACACAGATGTTTCTATTTCAAAGTTTTTTTTAGGCCTAAACTGTTTCAAATGAGTATTAGCAAAACTTTACAAACAAATTAAACAATACCATTATTAAACCAATAAAATAAAAAAAGCAATAAAAATTAACCAATAAAAAATAAAAACCAATAAAATAAAAAAAGCAATAAAAATTAACCAATAAAAAAGAAAAACCAATAAAATAAAAAAAGCAATAAATTAATTTTTGTGATTTTTTTTTGTGAAAAATTTCTTTTAACAGATCTAATTTTCTCTTTTTTTTTTTTTTTTTTTTTTTTTTTGTAAACGTTTTACAATTTAAAAGGCCTTATTTGCCTTCAGACATATACCATATTGCATCCAGATCAAATAAACTCTTATCAAATACATGCAGATTGGCACTCCACTCTTTACTGGGCAACGGGAATGTGTTTTTTTTCTTATAACAGAGCGGAAAAATATCTTGCTAACCTTTTTTTTTTTTTTTTTTTTTTTAAAGGATATCTGAAATTTTTATTATTTATCTTTAACATGTTATAAATGTATTGCCTTCCGTATATTAAAGATAAATTAATAAATTTGTAGAAATTAATATACATTATAAGCTAGGGGAAAATGAGGTAAAATGATTGTTACCAATCAAAACAACATTACTTAGTAGCAAACTGTGATCTAACTCTTAAATAAGCCTTTAACCAGTTACTATAGAGTCAACCAATCAGATTTTCTAATATTTTCAAATTTTTCTATCAGTTTTTTTTATATATTTATGTCAGTTAAGTGTTTCAATTAATAAAGAATTACTCAGTTTTTCTGATTATCCGTGTAAATAATTTTGATATCACTTTTAGATTCAAACTTTTTTAAAACTTCATTATAAACCCCATATTCTAACCTCAAACCCTTTTTAAATAGTAATCTAGTTTGTGATGGATTAATGATGTTTCTCTTTTAAAAAAATAAAGTTGCCTGTCATCAGTGTGGTCAGTAAACTGTTAAGCTATCAATAATAATAACTTTTTATATAAGGTCAGGTATCAAAATAGTGTTAATTAGTTAATATTTATAACTTATTATCAAGAATAAGTTCGTTTTATTCGTTTGGAATAAATTGGTATTGTCATTTTTACTATATATTTGGTCATTACTCAGGATATTTAATCGCTTCCCAAGTTAAGTTCTAAGCTATTTTTTTCTATAACAAGTTTTATATTGGTTTTACGTTTAAAATCTAAAAACTTTGATAAGGGTGAAAAAAATATACTTAACATATTTTATTTATATATATATATATATATATATATATATATATATATATATATATATATATATATATATATATATATATATATATATAAATTACACATAAAATAAAATCAAAGTGTAACTATTAAGACGCCATTCGAAAAATGTATGTATAAAAAAACACATTGAAAAATTTGAATCTTTTTTTAAACTAACAATAACAAAAAGCATTCTGTATTAGAACGGCGTCACCATTTTGTTTTAAAAGTGGCCATCGACATCTTACTTTTATTTGTATATTCAATGTATATATTTTCTCTAACTTTATAGTCCGTAGTTGTAGAAGTCAAAACTATTATAAATTTATATCTATTATAGCTGACAAAAAATTGTCTTTTCAGTTTAAATTTAATTTTAATTTATCTCGGACATTTTTACAAATACATTTTTGTGTGTGTGTCTGTCAGAAAGTCATGGTTACAGTAAAACTCAGTTAAAAATTTTAAAAAAGAATGCAACTTTTATTACAAAAATGTTTTTATTTTATTTTTTACTTCAATAATTTTTTTTTTTCCTAATCAGTTAGAGCGAAATTTTTATTATATATACACATTTATTTATTATATATAAAAATTTATATACTATATACACAAAAAATTTGAGTTCAAATAATGTTTTCAAAAAAGATTTGTTAAAAGTGACACTTAAAAAAAAAAAGGAAATAACATATGCACAATTTTTTTAGATGCAAATTGGGTACAAATAAACGATAACTGATGAACCAAGTATAATTGTTTGTAATGGATATCTGATGAACAAAATACAATGGTTTGTTAAGAAGTGATTAAAAGATATACAAAGCATTTTAAAGTCTTTTATGAATGTGTATATATATGTGTGAGTGCGTGTGTGTGTGTGCATGTGTGTGTGTGTGTGTGTGTGTGTGTGTGTGTGTGTGTGTGTGTGTGTGTGTGTGTGTGTGTGTGTGTGTGTAAGTGATTGCGTGTGTGTGTAACTAACAACTACAATGGTGCACATTCAGTTAACCATTCTGAATTGATATTAAGTACTTAATAAAACAAAAATTAAACTTTAACTCTTTAAAATTCTAAATAAAAGTTATACTTTTATAACAGTTTTTCAAATTTTATTATATTTTTTATTATATATTTATTAAATGTATTAGACATTTACATAGAAGTAGTAAACTTTGATCTACAACAATAAAGTTAATAAGTCATTATATATACAGTGGTGGAATGAGACTTCTTGGGGCCAGGGGCTATTTTTGTTTTTGGAGGCCTTTTTATGGGCCAGAGCCTAAAAATGACTAAAATAAAAAAAAGAACTCTAAAATTTTTTAGGGCCCCTAAATTTGTGGGGCCCGGGGCTATAGCCTCTAGGCCTCCCCCACCTTGATCCGGCAACTTTTATACCTTTTGCATTTGACGCAAAAATATTTTCAAAGTTGGTTTATAAACTTTTCTCATTTTTAAATTAGTTTAAAAAAGTTTAAAAACCAAACAAAGTGTAAAGTTTAAAATGTATACTGCAATTTATACTGACTCTATACTTTCAAGCAAGCAAACCAAAACGTAACAAAAGAGTTCTATTAGCCAAATTATATTATTTTTGGAGATATTTATTAGCAAGCAAAATCGACATTTGGAAGAAAAAGTTTATTCATATTATATATATTTCTCTTCTGTGATGTATTTAAAAAAATCTACTTGACCTGAATGTGACTGTGATCTTTTTAAAGCATTAAATCAATGAAATGCTAACTTTATCAAAATTCGATACGTTCTTAACTCATATAAAAAATATATATATTGCATAATATGCAATATTTTTTATGAATATATGATATATTTATAAAACATGAAGAAGTTGGTGGAACAAAATGTATTGTTTTTTGCAGTATTTTACTCCAATTTGTTCAGAGGTGATTTAAGCCTAGTTCCTAGGATTGCGTCAACGTTTTTTTAGTTCATTTTTATTTACACAACCATAAAAATAAATTTGGATTTGGTCTTATGGATAAAAGTAGTGTCAACGTAACGGGCTTAAACGCCTTGCACCAAATATCTACAAATATATTTGAACATATGCAAAAACATGAATACTTTGTACATATTTTGTAAGTGTAAGTTCTTTTATATATGATTTGTATGTGTCATTGTTAATAAATACTATTTATTTTGGAATTGCCATTTTATAACATGAAATAATGTATGTGTTTGGTAATACTTATAAGGCGACGTATTTGCAAAGAGATTAAGAACTCCTCAAACTCTCTCTCCGAAACCATAACGTGAGATAAATGATGCTCACTCTAATTGACAATAGTTTAAATTTTTTTATTTTTTTATTTTGTGCTCGAAATTTATAAATTTTCAATATAAATGATGTAGAAACTTTTATAGGATTGTTTACCTTTTTCTCCACTCATATCAACTCTGCATCTTCCAATATACAAAAAAAGGGGGAAAAAACAACAATTTTTTCTTGATTTTTTCTTTTACTATTTTGCTATGACTGAACGAAGATGCCTTTGGTTAAATATATACTACTTTTTGAATTCATTTATACAGCAAAAAAAAAAAAAAAAAATCCATTTTTAACTTTTTGCCACGGTCTACAATTGCATTAATTTTTTAGCAATTTTACCACGACCTTTGATTATTTTAATTTCTAAACGATTATTATTTATTATAGTTATGATTATTATTATCTATTATTAACATCTTATTATGTTTTGCAATTAATTAAAAGACAATTTATAATAAAAAGCTTTATTGCAGACTATTTGAATTAATAGACGCTAAAACGCCAAACAACCAATATAATCCAAACGGCGATTAATAATCTCTATATAGTTTTAAACGTGTCTATTTAATTTCACTTCATAATTAAAACAAAACAAAGGAATTTAAAAAATTGTATTTCCACCATCTTCATTATTCTGCAATAGATTTTTAAAATTTTAAACCGATGAATTTATTGCAGTCAATTTTTTTTTTTGCTATAAGTATATAGTATTATTTGTATTCGTCGAATTAACTTGAAGTAGATAAAAATCCAGTCCAATCTGTATGAATATGCAATGAATGTAGCCCGTTTAAAGGGTAGTGATGACGCAGTAGTGATGACGCAGCATTTTTGCTCCAATAGTGCAAACGTTAAAAAGCGAAGAATTGTACATTGATGTCAATGAAAGTATAGTTTATTACTATAATATTTAGCTTCTATTTACTATTTTACTCTTTATTTTTATTGTTAATTGATAACTAATACAAAGAAAAGGTGGAACAATTTCCAATTTGTTCACACAAAAATTGTACATATATACATACATACATACATACATACATACATACATACATACATACATACATACATACATACATACATACATACATACATACATACATACATACATACATACATACATACATACATACATACATACATACATACATACATACATACATACATACATATGTATGTATGTATATATATGTATGTATGTATATAAGCGTAATATAAAACCGCCATGGCGCAGTGAACTTTGGTTTAGAATTAAGTGGTTTGAAGTTCTAATTTAGCTTCTTAGTGAAATGCTCTTCCGGGTTACTATGTGATAAGACCGTGAGGGCTTCTAAGAGCACCTTCATAACCACAAATCTTAAAAATAACGACAAAAAAATACATTAAAAATACTGTGGAGTGTCCTCTTTGATGACATTAAAGTTATTCATCATGTATTTATTTTCATGGCGACACTTAGACGCAAGTTTGTTTCGCTTATTTAATAAAGGTAATCGGGATGAAGTTATATGATATTTTTCCATCAAGAATAAATTGCATGACTTACCACCAGGTTTAAACGGTTCAACCTGGTCTAAAATTTTCCACGAAAGGACAGAATTTAAACCTTTCTTTTTAACATTCCACACAAATTTAAAAAGGTCGGTAGAGTTTGACACACTTTCATAACGAAAGGAATTTTTATGCTTGTAAAAGCGATCTTTAAAAGTTTTTTCTGTAAGCCCAATATAATATCTACCTTCATCTTGCGGGTTTGTCTTAACATTACATAAATAGATGACATTTTTAATTAAACATTTTCTGTTAAGTGGACATAAATTAATCTGTCGGCAATTGCACGTTGGAGCATTAAGGTTTGAAGAATTTGATAAAATTTTATTGTTACGTGAAGTGATGATGTTGCGAATATTTGGAAGACAGCTATAGCTAACCTTCAGATTGTTTCGGTTAAATAGTTTATGGAATTTATGAGATTTTGGGAAGTTTTTATCGATTAAATTTAGGAAAAGTTTGGCTACGTTTGTCTTGGCATTAATTTAAAACGGAGGATTAAACCAAATAATTGTCAGACAAGTTGAGCGAAACGTCAAAAATGTTAACTGTTTTTAAATTAGATTTTATTGCTATATTTAGTTTGAATTTTTCTTTAAAAAGAATGATAAGGTATTTCTTTATTATTTCCGATTGCGGTCCACTAATACCATTGAAACAGCAAAATCATCTCTTTATATATTAAGTACCAACGGTTTATATATATATATATATATATATATATACATATATATATATATATATATATATATATATATATATATATATATATATATATATATATATATATATATATATATATATATATATATATATATATATATATATATATATATATATATATATATATATATATATATATATATATAAACCGTTGGTACTTAATCCGTATTCTTTGCTGATGGTATATAAAATAAAAAGTTCACAGTATAAAAATGATGGTATATAAAAAAAAGTAATTCTAAATTTGTGTGGAGTGTTAAAAAAAAAGGTTTAAATCCTTTCCTTTCGCGGAAAATTTTAGACCAGGTTTAAGAAAATTTTAGACCGTTTAAGCCTGGTGGTTAGTCGTGCAGTTTATGCTTGATGGAAAAATATCATGTAATTTTATCCCCATTGCCTTTACTAAATAAGCGAAATGAATTTGCGTCTAAGTGTCGCCATGAAAATAAAAACATGATGAATAACTTTAATGTCATCAAAGAGGACACTCCGCAGTATTTTTAATATATATTTTTTGTCGTTATTTTTAAGATTGGTGACATCTGATGATCGCTATTTGCGTGAAACTCCGAGTAATGTTTTAAATAAATCGAGTGTTATAGTTATTTAGTTTTTACTATATATTGCTCAACTTTGGTATTGAACATTTTTTAACGAGAAATATATACACAATTACTACAATATATATATATATATATATATATATATATATATATATATATATATATATATATATATATATATATATATATATATATATATATATATATATATATATATATATATATATAGTATATATATATATATATATATATATATATATATATATATATATATATATATATATATATGTGTAAAATACTTTAAAATCTTTTGCTTCCACCCATTTTTCAATTTTTTTTTGTTTTTATTTTGTTTTGTAGATTTGTTATTGAAAAATTCATCTGGACCCACATGCCCCATTTGCTATTTAGACCTTTCTTTCGCTTCTACTAATCTTAAGTAACCACCAAAAACATTGATATTTTTACATATATCAAATACAAAACTACTAAAGCTATATATTAACAATAACAATAATAACAAAAGCACGTTCTGAAGTAAAATAGAATATATATATATATATATATATATATATATATATATATGTATATATATATATATATATATATATATATATATATATATATATATATATATATATATATATATATATATATATATATATATATATATATATACATATACCAGAAAGGCAACAAGTCCACAAATCCTAATTTTACCGGAATGACAAAAAACTGTTTCAACCCTTTATTTTCAAACAATTTTTTCCTAATTGTTTAACAGTTAGAAAGGGTCAAGATTCCTTTTTCTTGGTCTTTTCTTGACTAAAATCTTAAAATACTTTTTAAGATTTTAGTCAAGAAAAGACCGATTAAAATCTTAAAAAGTATTTTATTTAGGCAACACTAATTAAATAATGTTATTTTATTGATTTATTATCATAATAAAATGCACAATACAACTTAAGAACGTTATTTATTCAGTTAGTTGATCTTCTTGAATGGACACAGTAGTTACAGGCCATAATGTTATTTCATTTCAAAATCGGAGCTTTTTATCCCGAATATAAACCAAAGTCTTCTTTATATCCACAATTTTTAAGTGGCTAAGGGATAATACACCTGAATAGGCTTTATTAGTTGGTAGTTCAAAGTCCCCTATAATGTTTCATAAGCGAAAAATGTCACTTATCAATCCAGCAATATGCATACTGCATTCAGTCTCCCGTGGTTCATCAGAAGAAACTGACATCTCACGATATTTTGAGATTAAAAACGTTATTTTGTTAGATTTTAGTACATTTTTCCCATAAGAGTCATCCATATTCAATAAAATCTTCGAACAACATTTATCGTAAACTTTCCAGGAATTTTTGAAGAACTGTTAATCATATTAATTACTTCATCAGTTTCATAATATCTCTCTATTTTTTTTAGTTTTCTACTTATAATTCCAAAATCACGGTCATTAGGCATAAAAGAATGTCCTCTAACAGGAAACATCAAATTTATTTTTTCAAATCTCTTAGTTTCACAACTTAGAGCCACCATAAGTCTAACAAGGGTGTGGTTCTTGTTTTGACCAGCACAGTTGTCACCAAAAAGGTGAAAAGTTTTAACTTCATCTGAAATTTTGTTTTTTACGCACCACATAAGCATAGAGCATACTTCGTTTGAACCTTTACTTCATTCGCCTTCATGATAAATAAAAACAGTCAATTTTCGGGAAGCAATGTCGTGAATTCCAAAGACGTTTACTGTGAGTTTCCTGAAATAAAAAGTATCTTGTACTGAAGTGCATGGTAATGTCACATTAGACATGTAATCTACACATAATTCAACTTGTTTTGGGTCTTTTATGCATTTCTCTGTGGTATCTTTTATTTTGTTGTAAAACTTTTTAGCTCTCCTATTGTGGACCATAAGCTCTGCTATTGCGTGTCTTTTCTCATTGTCATTAAGAAATGGATTTTTATTTTCAACTTAAGTTCCTCACAGGCAACGCATGTGTCTTTTGTAGGATGATCAAAACGTAATGAATAATTTTCTATGAAATAATGCCAGAGAAATTTATATGACAGCCTTTTCTCACTACCAAGTGTAGTTAAAAGAAAATATTTCTGTTTGTTAATAAACATCTCATACATGGTTTTTACGTCCAAATTAGCTGGTAAGTATTATTTATCTCCTCCAGTATATTGTTCAGTTTTTGTAGAATTTTGTTCAATATGAGCTTTCAAACGAGTGATTAGTGCCAGGAATTGCATTAACAGAAACATTTCTGCCTCTTTTATCTACTGGAGTTTTGCTTAGCTGTAACAGATGCGAGAGCCTGTAACACTGTTTGGAAATACATCCTTATGTTTTATAAATCCATTTTTACAAACCCCATTGTGCATAATATGGTACTTCACTACGGAAGATTCAGGTTTTGCAGAAGTAGAACCTGGTCTAGATCTTTGACGGTTAACTGGGGAAACCTCCATTATTGATTGCAAGTAGATGTCTTGTTGAGTTTTGGTTTCCATATCATATATCTTGGTAAATATTTTTACCATGTCATCCGCCGTGTAAATCTTCAAACAGTTTTCCTTGCAACTGAAATAAAAAAGAAAAGGTTGGTCCTATCTATGTTTTAATATCTATGTTTGAAAACACATAAGCTAAGTTTCTATCAAAAACCCTAGGCATTTCCTAATTAATTAGGAAATAAGACTAATAATTGGCTACCTTAGAGTTAATTACAACTACATAAATAAAGCCTTATTTATGTAGTTGTAATTTAGGTAGCCTAGCTTTGTTCAAAAATCATAAATGCAATATTTTATGGCACATAATCAAACACAACGGTCAGAAACCTACAAGTGTTGTGCATTTCCCTCAGCCGATTAATTTTATGCAGAAAACTCGACATATAACAGTATTTAAAAAGTTTTCTAGATGAACATTACTGAAATATTATAACAATTAATACAATTAAATCGATAAAGGCTTACCTGCAAATATTAGATGCTGGTTTCTTGGGTGGTATTGTTTTTCCAACCATGTTTATATGGTTTTTTTTCTGCCAATTTAGCCTTCTTAATACCATTCCTTTTATATCTGTCTGAATTAACAACTCCTTTCTTTCTTCTCTTTAAAGGATTTTCATCTTCATCTGAACAACTCATTTTTAACAAAGAAATTTGTAAGTCGCAAGCAAAATGTTATTATTTTATGTTACTAATGTCAACATTAGTAATGACCCCAGAATAGGAAAAAAGTCCCGGACGTGTTTCCTTTATACAGTAAACGCAAAATGTTATTATTTTATGTTACTAATGTTTAACGCAGAAAAGGAACAAGTCCCGGACGTGTTTCCTTTTCGCGGCAAACGCAAAATTCAAAATGATCCCATGCCTATAAAAATGATGGCAGGTTTATCCCTTTTAGCAGTAAACGGTGTGTCTACCCATATGAACTGATTTATGTTAAAAAGTGAGTTTTTGAATTTTATGGACTTGTTCCCTTTCTGCAGTTAGCAGTTCACATATATAACAAGATAGATAACAACAACAAGAGTACAAAAACTAAATCAATTTATGGTTAGATGAGAATGCTTTTTATAACCCCCTCATTTTTAGCCTAGTTTGAAAACTATACATATTCAAAAATTTTATAGACCAAAATATAATTAAATGAAATTTAAAATCTGCCAATAAATATAAATTAGTTTAGACAAATTACTAATTGCATTTTTATTAATGTATAGAATAGACAATAATAATATATATTTTTTGTTGCTCGCTCTAATACTTACATCGATAATGACGGCAAGTACTATTCGTACAAATAATATATTTGTCGCGTTAAAAATAACTGTAAATTGGCTTTAACTAGTGTTTGGATTAGAATGTCATTTTTTGTAACCTACTGTCTATATATCAAACAAACATGTCACTATGGGGGTGACAATAACGGGATTTGGTTTTACGCAAAATAAAAAAGTGTGATGCCAAATAATATTTGCAACTGTTGTCATTTTTATTATAGATTTCGAAATTTCTTTCAAAACCAGAAACTGTTTGATTTTGTTTTCAAATATTGGGGTTTCAAGGTTTATGTTGTATTCTATATAAAGTGTTTGCTTCTTTCATTTGTGTTATTAATTTCCTTATTTGTTTCTTATATTTATGTTTTTATGAGGGGTATAACCTTAAACTTCTATTTTAGAGGAAGGTTTTTCTCATACTTAAATTTGCGGGAAATATTTTGCACATTTTTTGATTTTAATTTGAACTTAATTTCAGGTTTTTTGTATTTAATTTGAATTTAAGGAAAAAGTTTTGTATAATTAAGTTTTGCATAATTAATTTAATTTTAATACAAGTCTTATTTAATTTTAAATTAACTCTTTAAGATATTTTAAAACAAATTTATGACGTTTATTATTAATGAATCATTTAAAGGAATAGAGAATTTTTATTCCGTAACTTTTTTTATTTTTTCCTGTTTTTTTTTTAATTTTTAATTTATTTATTTTTTCTATCTATTTAAATTTAGTATTTCCATATAAATATTATTACATTTATTGAATTATTTTTATAAAATTTTTACACTGGGGATGAATTTCAATTTTTACAAGTTGAAATTCATCCCCAGCCTCCATATGTGCAAAATAATTTAATAACTACGCAATATAATTTACTCCTGATAAATTACCATTTTCTAATTTTAAACGAAACTTTAAAAGTAGCCACCTCTTAATTTTAAACCTAAATAAAAACCATTTTCAGAACCTCTAAAAAACCAAAACATGTGAACTATTAAAATCGAACCTCAAGAACCTTTGCAAAATCAAACCGAACATTCAGCAAACTATATCATTCAAGAACAGATTTCTTCCCTAAAATCAACACATTTGAATAGTTGGAAATTTGCTTCTGAAAAACTTTAGATGTAGTAATCAGAATCTCAGAGCTGGTCATCCCGTAATGGTCGTCCTGTAAACTTCTTCCTTTTCGACTAATTGACTACAACGAAAGTAATTTACAAATTTACTTTTTATATTTCATGTTTTACTGTATTTTTTGTATACTATAATTAAAATTGACATTTATCGTTCTAATGCTCATCTCTACTGGGTTTGGTAAATTTTATCTTTATAACAGCAAATTTAATTTGAAATAATAAAAAATTTATTACTAAATAATTATTTAACTTTTTTTTTATTTAACTTATAAATAGCAGAATTTTTTTTAGATTTGTTCAATGTTGCCAAAATATGATTTTTTTTTTATTCATTAAGAAATTCTCGAAATTTGAGAAACTAGCATAACATTAAAATAATAAAAAGAATAATCCAAATAACATGTTACAAATTTACATTTTTAAACAAAGCAGAGCGCCTATATGTAACGTATTTTGTCAGGACTGACGTTTATGACGTTAATTAAACAATTTTTTCTAATTTCTGACAAATACTAATTGCTTTTGTCTAAAATCCACACGGGCGATTTTGTCAAATGACTTGCGTCTTCATATAAACAATGCGCAACAAAATGTATAAATATATATGAACAACAATGTAACTCTGCTTGCAACTAATTTGAAGAATTCAAATTTGTAGCAAGCAGAATTCATAAAATCACAAACATAAAGTTTAGACTTTCTTTTTGCCAAAAATAGATAAAACATTTATTTGAAAATAAAACTATTAACGTTACAAATGTAAACGAAAACAGTATAAAAATTTTTTTTCAAAAAAAAATTGTTTGAGTTAATGAAATTAACAATCAAGTTGCAGTTATTAATGGTAAATGTTTAACATAGGATTTTAACCTATATATAAAACGATTATTACTTGTCACGTGCTATAGTAGATGGTTCTTCATTTCTTGCAAAAAAATTATTTACTCATTTTGCAACTTCTTATCTTGAGTAATAATTTTTTATTATTTGATTGAACAATACTTTGCGTGGCGCCATCATTTATATTGGTAACAATAAGAAAGTTGTTTTGTGGTTTGTAAACGCGTAATATTGCGTTATTTAGTCACAGGTGAATTAAACTACGTTGTTTATTTATTTAGTAATATTATTATTAATATAAATACATTATTATAAAAGATAATTATTATTAATATGTGTTATGATTATATTTCCTATTATTTCTACTTTGATATTTGCTCAGAAAAATACCTTTTATTGACAGTTTACAAGATTTTTTTTATACAGGATACAAAGCTTAGTATTTCACTGAGGTTTCTAAAAAAGTTACCTATGCGTTTTATTGATGTTTTACTTTTCAATATAAATTATATAGTTACTGGAATCTTCATTCAACTTGAATTTTTTTTTTTGGGGATTACTTTAATTGTAATTGTAATGTGGTAAACTTTAAAATGAGTTTTTTTATTTAATAAAAAGTAGTGTAAGTTATTTTTTGATGCATTTTTATTATTTGCGTTAAAAGAAACACATTATTGATGTGTAAGTAAAAAAACGTTAAGTTTTTTACAACTTTCTTTTTTTTTTTACTTTTAAAAAACACAAAGAAGAACGTTTTTATCTGCGCATTGTTAAAGTACAATAAAATGGCTTTAAATTTTATTCTTATTAATAACTGATTATTTGATTTATTGTCATTTTAAATAGTTTTATCTAATTAGTTATTTGTAATTGAATGTTGCTACGCTGATCTAAATGGTAATATAAAAGTTCTTAATAACTGCATTATCAGTGGGGCCGCTCGATGTCAAACCGTCAAATTTGACGATTCGAAAACATGGAAACGACGTCGAAGAGATACGCTGTTTTTACATTTTTAGAATCCCACTGGGTTGAAATTTGCAAAGTGAAAATTTATTATTTTAAACTATTTCCTTTAGATAATTGGACTTTGTACTCTAATAGGCTAGAGTTTTGCTAAAGTCAAACATTAGTTTAGTCAAACTGTTTACCTGGCTCCTTGGAGGTTCGAATTAACTAGATTTAACTACAAACTTAAAAAAACTTAATTTTTTTAAATGAAGTATAAAATTTATAACTTAAAAAATTTGGCTTATCTCCTGAACAATAAAAATATTCTTAACATTGTTTATGCGGTATTGATATAATGGTAGATCGGTTACTTAGTAAGAGAGTACCGAGTTTGATTCTAACACGTCACTGGTAATACCGCGCTCAACTTATTTCTCCGCGCAATAGCCTTGTTTGTTTTGTTGTTTTTTTGCAATTTTTTTTACAAGTTTTACTAATTAATCAATTTTACTAGAATTGAAAAAGTTAAATAAGCAAATAAGCACTGAAAACATAGAAAATGAATCCAACAATAAAAGACGTAAAGTTTAGTTCAACACACGCTAATGAGCGAATCATTTTTATTTACTTTTCATGAAGTAAAGCTATTGGAAAATATTAAGCGTTGATTGTGCTTCAACTATTCGAATAACACTTTTTTATAAACTAGCACCGTTCCGTTAAACCTATAAGGCTTAGCGGCGCGATGTGACGCTTTTGTATTTTTATATTACACTAAAAAATCGCCGAATAATTTCACAAACTCCGATAGTTATTAGGTTTCTATGTTTCTTATTAAAAAAAAAAAATACCGCCTTATTTAAAATTGTTAAAACATTATCGTTTAATATGCTTTTTTCTCATAACCTTTTATAAGAGATAAGTTTTTATTAAATTTATAGTGCGGTAATTAGGCGTATAACTCGCCTTTTTAAACAATCATCTAAAACGATTGTACAACTTTGAAAACCATTTAACTTTCTTTTAAAATTTATTGTGTATTAATTGATAGTGAAGCTATATATTTGATGAGTGTTTTTTTAATTGTTTTTGTGATGGTAACCAAACAGAATCCTTAAAGCTTTTTTTTTTTTTTTTTTAAAAAAAGTTTTTTTCAGCGGTAAGATTTACAGGGTCAGTAAAATTGTTAGTTTGTATTTGTTATTTTGAATATCTTTGGTTAAATATTATTTTTGCTATATTTTATATTCAAAACTATATACATATATTTTCATTATGGAAGCAAGACAAAATTTAAAAATGGCAAATGGTGCTCTGTGACAAGACCGTTAGGTTTTTTTGGAGCACCAAACACCGAAAACCAATGAAAATTTTTAGGCGCATATTTTTATTTAACAAATATGATTTACCGTTCGAAAATAGAAGCCAACTGTTTCATGTAAGGAGTTATACATAATTACATAACATTATACATAACTCTTCAAGAAATTTAAAAAAAGTAAAACGTGTGTGTGTGTATATGTATATGTGTGTGTGTGTGTGTGTGTGTGTGTGTGTGTGTGTGTGTGTGTGTGTGTGTGTGTGTGTGTGAATGAGTGTTTGTGTGTGTGTTTAAACTATAAAGTATTTGATAATTATACTCCTACAATAAATAAACATTAAAATAATATTCAGCTTATCATATTATTTAGTTTAGTAATTATAGTAAAGTTCTTTTGTATTTTTATTATGGTAAAATAATAATTCTGGTCCAGTATAAGTTAAAGTTAAATAAAAATTAATTCAATTAAACTTAAGTACTCTTTGAAGTAAGATTTTTTTATTATTATTATTTTTGTTATTAAATTTTATTATTATTAAAAAATGAATCAATTAAAAAAAAAAAAAAAATAATGCAGTAAACTTATTAACGCTAAATATTACATCCAGGAAATTATAAAATATTTTTTGAATAGTCTCAATAAGATGCGGAACAAAGACAGTCGTATATGACTTGAAACAGGTTTATTTTACAAACTAAAATTTTCTATATTGAGAGCATTGTATATTTTCTGTTAGGATTTTCCTGAATGCCTGCTCTGCAATATCCGAAAGATGTCATTATTAGTTTATAAGCTTTTGTAATTTAAAATAATGCTACTTGTTTGGGGTTTCCTTTAAGATCATTTGTTTCAATAGTATTGATTTTGTTAATAAAAACAATATATGATATATACGATAATTTATGATATGTCTATAAATTTAAGCAATTATTGTTTTCATAGAATCTTTTTTTATTTTAACTTTTCTTTATACTTTAATTAGTAGTACTGGTTACTAACAGGGTAGTTAAAGAGGAATATGAAAAAATATTTAATAACAGGGCGTCAAAGATATTTAATAAATGGGGCGCCAAAAAATAAAAAAATACTGAAAATCGTTTAAAATGTTAAAAATTCGAATACGGATATATAATACTTACCTTCGTAACATTTTTTACTGTTTGCTTTTGTAATATACCAATCTGCACTAGTACATGTTTATGTTTATTATTTTGTAAAATCTTCAAAGAAAATCTATCCTAAAAGGTTATAAAATTGAATGCTCTCAATTTTATTGTAAATGTTTTCGAACAATTTTTATACCAATTTTAATTGTATTTGTATAGACATATTTTTATAATTTCTTAGCACAAAATCTATTGAGTAATTATCAATTAGTTTTATAAATTAATTTTATTAATTATTGGTTAGTTTCATCATTTGATAAAAAAGTTTTTTTATTTTTTTTTATCTTTTTATTATTATTTTATTTTTTCAAAGTCATTATAATTATTTTTGGAATTTGTCATGAGCTTAAAAATACTGCCATTATACCTTTATTATATTAAGTGTAGTTTATTTACATTATCCTGACATCCTATTAAAACATACATAGGTTAAGGTTATATTAGGGGCGCCTTGGGAAACAAAAAGCTCTAAAATTTATGCCCCTCCTTTCATTCATCTTACCCCAAACGTGAAAACAACAAGTTTATAAAATATCATTTACTGTTTTCAAACTAAATTCGTTAATAAGTTTCAAATTTTATGTAATAATCAATCAGAAATTATGATCATTCAAAGTTTTAAGCCCTCAAACTTTTGTAAACCTTAATTGAGAGGATATATTTACAAATGTTTTTGAACATTAAAAGATTAATAAACAAAGTTTAAAATATATGAATAAGTATTATTCTATTTTAGAGTAGTAAAAAATTTTTTTTTAATAGCTACTCTTAAGTTAAGGGGTAAAACATTGGTTCCATATTTTTAGAGCTTTTTTTTTATTATAAGGCTCCAACATTACAATCTTTTGAAAAGCATTCTTGTTTAACAAAAAGTGTAAATAATAAAAAAAGTTGAAAGTTAGTTATCTTAACAACCAAAAAATAATACCGCTTTTTTCTCTTAATTCTAAGTTCTTAATTTCACGAGAGTTAACCTTTTTCTTGTGATCATTTTATTTATTTACTTTTTGCTTATTGAAAAAAAAATTTAAGTTTTATTTATTTTTAATGTAATTATATTTTATTATTTTTGACAAAATAAAAGATTATCTATTATTATTGCATTCTCAATTGTAAAGCAAATTATAATCTAGTTTTTTTGTTTTTTTTTATCCCTACCACGTTTTGTTGTAATTCATAAGAATATTATAAACTTTAAATACCCTCTAAATAAAGTAAAAATAATGCATTATGTTATTGCCAGAACGTTATGTTTGTAGTGAAACAAAATTAACCAAGGAGTGTTTCCTACTTTTTACTTATTGTTATAAAGACACAAGGTTCATTGAAAATTCATTGACGTTAGGTTTTTGTAGAGAGATTATCATTCATTCATTTTGGCAGTTTAATGTTACAAAAAACTCGATCTGACGTAATTCAGGAAGTGCTGCACGTGTTACAAAACGATTAGGTGTTTAAAGAATATTTAGTTTAAAAAGAAATTTACGTTGTTTTTTATTCCCCAAGGAATTAATTTGGCTTTTTTTATAGTTTAAATATATTTTATTATATTAGATGATGAAAACATTTTTTTTACAATTTTTGTAAAAGTTAAATTTATTAGATTACATATAGATATTTGTATAAATCTATTGCGCTTAGTAAATTTAATAACAAAAAAATTGTTTTTTATAGAATTAATTGAGTGTGCAAGGAGATTGTTTTCTAAACAAATTGAGTTGTCATTGAAATAAGATATGTAAAAAATAAAACTTATAAGATTTATGAGTTAATACATTTTTGGATTACTGGTTAAAGTATGAACACAAACAAAGTTAATTAACATACTTTGTATGTTTAGAATAAAAAAAAATTTATTCTGTATTTTTTTGCATTTTGTATTTCTTTAGAAAGTTAAACTCTTAATTATGAAATAACATGTCAATATATTTTGGAAAAATTACTGATGGTTTGTTGAAATAACTGTATCAAAGAATTATTTATTAAAAAGAAATATACGTATTGAAAATATTTATTTACAAAATGGGTATTGAATTGGAGCGGTTTGTTGATTCTATGGTTCACGATGCTAGTTGCTTCATATGCAGTTGCATTTTAGAAGATCCATTAGAAATTAATCCTTGCGGACATCATTTTTGCCGGGGTTGCTGGCTTAATTGGAGTACCAAAAATTCTTGTTGTGCATTCTGTGGCGCCAGTGTAGTTGGAGTTAAAGATTCAAGACTCTTATGGAGTCTGATTCAAAATCACAATGTATATTGCATCCAAAAAGAAAAAGGATGCCCAGCGATATATAAGTTTGGTTTTAACAAACTACACGAAGGGCAGTGTTTGTATCAGGGCTATAATCGTGTGGAGTTAAATGATAAATGCACCGTTTGTGAAAATGATTCGGGTATGACTCACGATTGTTTAAAAGAATTATCATTAAAAATGAAACAATGCTCGATAAGAATAATAAATCTCGAACACGAAAATCAACATCTGTCCTATAAGTTGATGAACAGAGAAAAAGAATATTTGGAACGAATTTCAGAAATCGAAAGTCAATTTTATGAAGAGTCTTTAAAATATAATAAAGAAATACGGGACCTACGGTTACGAGCTGCTGCTACTCAAGGAGAACAAGGCAAGAAAAATAATCAAGTAAATAGTTATTTATATAAAATTTAAATTTTTTTGTTATGTTTTAAGTGAAAATTTAGCAAGGAAATTAAGTCTTTTATAAGCTAAAAGCTTTGATTTCATTCTCCAGATCTCAGTAAAAAAGTTCAAAACATCCTTTTAGATTTACGCCTTCATTTAATATTATTTTAGTATTTTACAAGTAATATATAAAAAATTAAAGAAAAGTAAATCTTAATTATTGAAAGGACCCCTATTCTATTGATCTTATCGAAAAATCTCTTTTTATTACCCCCTTTTTATTACTACTCCCCCCCCCCCCCCACACACACACTCACCTTTTTTTTTATTATCAATTTTGTAAATTATGCAGCACGTGGTGAGAAAAGCTACAAAAAAATATATATATTACACAAATAGATAAATATTCAAAAATTATAATTAAAAACATTTACAATTAAACAATAGTAGGTGTAAAAAAACTTTTATATAAAATTTTCATTAAATAAAAAAAGAGTATGTTCTGACAAACTTTTGCATAAGCTATATAAATCCAGTAATTAAAAGTAATCGAATTAGTTGATTATTTATTAGCAGTAGCCCTGTGCTTGTAAGAGTTCCAACAAAAACTATTAATTTATTTATGAGAGGGTTATATTTTCAAATTGACATTCAACTTTATAAAGAAAGAACTCTTTAGGTAGATGAAAGAAGAACTGTCATCTCATTGTTAGGTAGATGAAAGAAGAACTGTCATCTCATTGTTTGAAAGTTTGAATCTTGAGTTGTAAAAACTCTGGTTACTGTAATATATAAGAGAAGACAAAATAAATACGCGTCAAAAAAAATTTGCCCCTAAAACACATCCATTGTGGAGTACTACCCATTAGCTATAACGCTAACCTTAATATATTTTTGAAGCGTAAAAAAACTTATACTTGACAATATTTAAAAAAAAAAAATTGGTTTTAAACCAATTTCCATAGTTATATATACACTTTGTTTCCATAGTTCTCTTTAAAATAATAAGAGAAAAGATTGGCTGAGGAGTTTTCTTGATCACATTGCTGAAGAACTGATGCAAAGTATTGTTTCAAAACGTAGGTAGTTTTTTTAAGTTTCATTCAAATGTTTTCTGATGATCATTTTTTGAGTGAGCTCATAGTTAGCTCATGAGATTATTTCTTAAACAAACTCAAAACAAGCTTTAAATTGGTATTACTGTTTCTATGTTTATTATTGTTTATTAAATGTGTTACAATTATTTAAGTGTGGAAACGGAAAACTTTAAAGTGCACTCAGCATTAGCAATTTTTTTTTTTTTTTTTTTTTTTTTTTTTTTTTTTTTTTTTTTTTGGATTACGAATGCTTAATTTCAGAATTAATAGTAGGCGGTCTTTAAATTTATTTCTGTTTCTTTTGCCAGAAGATTATCGTCTAGAAATGTCTTAAAATTTTAAAAATAAAGTGAATCAAGCTCTAAACTTGGGTTTAATCTTAATGCTTTGGTTTTAATCTTAAAATCAATTTTCTTCAACAAAGCAAAAACAATGTAAAAAAAATGTTTGCCTTTTAAATTAATGAAAAGAAATGTAAATAAAACCAAATAAAAATAACCAGTGAATAAACAAACTGCGAACAATTTTCTTTCATCAAATAACTTTAGAATGACTCCTGCTATACTCTAAATTTTTTTTGTTAAGCGTAATAATCAAAACACCGTAATAAATTTTTAATCAAAGTAGCAAAGTAGCAAAGTAGTATTAGTAAAGTAGAGTATAAGCTAGACTGATATGGGAAACATAGACACTTGTTATATATATATATATATATATATATATATATATATATATATATATATATATATATATATATATATATATATATATATATATATATATATATATATATATATATATATATATATATATATATATATATATATATATATATATATATATATATATATATATATGTGTGTGTGTGTGTGTGTGTGTGTATATATATTATATAAATATATGTATACATATATATAAACATTTATATATATATATATATATATATATATATATATATATATATATATATATATATATATATATATATATATATATGTATAAATAAGAATAAAAAATACAATTTCTACATTTTTAAAAATTTAGATATATTACGTACATATCGATCTAGAAAGACTTAATGGAAGTCTGGGTTTCAATATAATGGGAGGTGCAACACAGGTAACAACGAATTACAGTTGAACTTGTGTAAATTTGAATTTCCAAATATGTTTAAATACGAGAGTTTTCAAATTATAGGAGTTCAATCTTAAATTTTAAACTCTGAAGGGACTGAAGAATTCATTCGATCTAAATGATCTTTCAAACTATAGGAGTTCAAATTAATACAGTTCAACTGTATAGCTTTTAGTCGAAATGTTTTTCATATTTTTTATATATTATACTTTTTCCATTTTGAAAACCCCATTAAAATTCGTTTTACAGACCCTGAGTTAAAGGTTTTATAATTCAGAGCAAGGAAAACAGCTTTTTTAATTGTTTTAGAATTGGGGGCAGGCAGTACAAAAAGAATATAAATTAAAAAAAACAAAAACAGCCGTATTATATACAACAATATTTAGCACCATAACCACTTTAAAATTAGTAAAAATGGTTTTTTTTTTTTTACAATACACAACGTTACAGTTTTACAATATACAACGTTTTTACAAGTTATAATGCATTTTGAAACTGCTAATAATTTTGAATTTTTTTAGGACGATAAGCATTCTGATGGTATTATTGTATCTAGAATTGTTGAAGGTGGTGCTGCTGATGGTAAATTACAGCTTCATGATTGTATTTTGGAGGTAATTTATCTTTGATTTAAATTTTTCAAACTGATATAGTTATTTTTTGGAACAAATTAAAGATAATTGAACCACATTTAAAACTTTTTTTTTTTTTTTAATTGTTTTTGCGCTCTATTTTACTTGTTTTGTTTAAAATGTTTCCTGCGTCATTATAAATAACTTTTTTTTAGCTCTTCAAACCATTTTCTTTAAACAACCTACGTCATTAAAATAAAATTTATTTCAAATCTACTTTTATCAGTATTTCTCTTTCTCTCTTTCTCTCTTTCTCTCTTTCTCTCTTTCTCTCTTTCTCTCTCTCTCTCTCTCTCTCTCTCTCTCTCTCTCTCTCTATATATATATATATATATATATATATATATATATATATATATATATATATATATATATATATATATATATATATATATATATATATATAACTTATGTAATTTATACTAACTTATATATAATTATATAATTATGTAGTTTTATACTAACTTATATATAAACTTTCTTTTTTGTGATACCACAAATGTTATTTTCTGAGTAATTCTGAATAATGCGCAAAAATGAAAAAGGAGATATTATTTTTTCTAAATTTAATTTTAATTTTGCAGTAAATTTTTGCTTTATTTTTGATCAAATAAAAACGACAATTCATAAATCTTAACTTTAAACATAAAAAATATTTTTTAAGCTTTAAAAAATTTAAACGATAAAAGAAAGAAAACAAAAGTAGTTTAATATTCGTCTAAAAAAACTTTATCAAGTTAAATATGGATTAAGTTTCTAGGTTTGTGTAGTAACTTTATTCAGTCTCTCTGCAGGCAAGTAAATTCTCTAAAGAGTATATTTTCTACTTTTGATTTTATGCTCAAGTTGTTTAATTTTTAGTTTTTAGCTTTCCGATTATTATTGCAAACTTAGAGTTTCAAATAACCCCGCAAGTCTACATTTGAACTTTAGATACTGGAGTTGTAACCACCTCTAAAACATAAATGGGTTGTCAACCTTTTTCACAAAAATCACTTTCTAGATATGTTTTCACAGTTTTAGTCTAATGAGATGGTTTTTAATTATGGCCAAAACATAGTTTTGAATGAATTAAATAGAATTAAACAACGTTTAACTAAACTTTTTCTTATAAACATTTAACGCTACTTTTTACATACCGGGGTTTACGCATTCCTTCGGATATAACAACTAATCAAGTATCTTCAGCTATAGCAGCTAATCAATTATCTTTGGATTAAGGAATTATTATTATGCTTCACATTTTCTGGTCTTTGAAATAATCAATATATATTAAAGTGAAAAAAGATTTATATTCCAAACTGAAAGTTTAATGTTTTTTATGAAGCTTTTATTTGAGTTGCATTCGTTTTTGTTGTTGGACGGTTTTTTTTGGGGGCTTTCCTTTTTTATTTTTTTAATTTTATAAAACTGTATACCTTAATCAATTATCCAATGTGTACTTGAGAACAATTTAAATTGTTATTCATATATTTGTGGCTTTTTCTACAGGTTTAATTGAAATATTTTAAAATCCTTAATCTATTTCAACCATTTTTAATTCAAACAACTATATTGCATCATCGCATTAATTTAGTATTGGATGTGTTATCTAGAAATTTAGGTTTATAATTTATTAGGTATCAATTTGTGACCATTTTTATATGGTAATGTAGATCCATGGTTAGAGTATATATACAATAAGAAACTTTAAGTTTCGCATTGATAAACTCTTAAGTACAACAATTTTTTTTTTACTTTATTAAATTTCAGTGACAATTGTTTTATTTTTTAATTTATTTAATTTCTAACTCCTGATTGCAATTTTACCGATAGTAATTATATTAAAATAAAATATATATCGGTATATATAAGATAAATATTGGTATATATAAGATATATATCGGTATATATAAGATATATATTGGTATATATAAGATAAAATATATATCGGTGACCAATGAAGATTGCTGGTTGCTATGCTTTGCTTATAATGCAAGATTAAAAAACAAGTTACAATCTAAATAAATTTTGAAACGATAAATATATTATTTTTCATACTTTAACCTTATTTTTCTATTGTATAATTTTATTTTGATATTTGATTGTTGTTATTTTTTTATTTAAATTTTTATCTTAGCTTTTCAGTTGAGAGTTGATAAAAAATTTTGTTCAAAATATTATTTTTTTCTAACAAGCTTAAAAAAGGTTATCGCCTAACTTATTTTGAGCGATGTATTAGCAATAAATTAAATAAAACGATATCGTCTTTTATAGTGCTAATCTTTTAAACATTGCCGCATGCACATTATTCTTAATTCGGAAAGAAAAAATAATGGAATTTTAATAATGGTCTTTTAACGCTACACCTTGGGCTTAATTCGGAAATTACTGTTAGTAACGTAATTCTTTTCAGTCAAAATAATCTTCATTCGGAATTATTTATTAAAGGCTGGACAAAGAATAACAATAACTGATATATTGTTTAGTCATGTCTTTGTAAAAAAAAAAAAGAAAAAATCAACGGATGGCGTTCGTTTATTAAAATTAAACTTCAAAGTACGATGTATATTTAGCAATTGTCGCGTTGATTGTTGTTAAAAGTTGTGAAGGAGTTGTTGATAACTGCTTTTTATTGTTTTTTGAAGTTTAGGGGGCCACTCTAAGCATATGTTTGTAAATAATTTTTTGTGATGGATAAAAATTTGTCTTAGACTTACACATCTGTAAAATAACATAATAATTATTCAAATGCATAAATATTTTAGTTTTTTTCTTGTTTTTATTAAACGTAAATATTATTTTGCTGTGTATTGGCAGTGACTTTAATCTATGTAAATAATATAAGCAAAGGACAAACAGTTATTGCAAAGTGCTGAAAAAAATATATGCTTTTGTTTTTATTATTATTATTTTTTGCAAAGCTATGTAAAATCTTATTTTTTGTGTGTTTGCAGCCTTGTAGTAAGCTTATTTTATTTTTGTATTTACAACCTTGTACTATGCTTTATTACAATTAATTATTCTAAATGCGATTATAAAAACAAAAGCTTTTGTAAATATTTTTAACAAAGTTTGCGCAAAAAACTCAAAATAATTTGTTACTTTATATTTAAGGTTGATAGTGTAGATTTAAGAAGTGCAACACACGAACTAGCTGTAAAAGCATTTCGCGAATCTGGAAACCCTGTAAAAATGCTTGTTCGACGACAAATAAGTAAAAGCGCAACAAGTGACTTTGTTGATGTTGGTACGCAAACGTTTGGAGTCATGTTTGCTGTTACCTGCGAAGAAGAATTTAACGAGAAACATACTAATTCTTTTTGCAAACCACAAGAGACACTATGCAAGTTTAGCAATCAAAAACGTTGGCTTAATCCTCACGAGTTTACGGAATCAATTCATAAAGAGGGTGTGAGCATGATGAGTCAGCAAAATTCAGATACAAACAAAAACGAGCAGTATGATTCCGCATATGATACATTACTTACGCAAAAGTCATCACGGAGCGTACGACTCGATACGACACGCAACTCCCAAGTTTCACACGATACGACACGAGTTGCATCTCCAACAGATTCGATTGATAAAAGCACAACACGTTCATCTCCGGTTTTGAAAAACAATGATAACACATCAGGTGTCACACTAAGAAACAAAATTAAAACTGAACAAGCTGAGAACAACCGGCTTAGTACATTTTACATTCTTCCCTCAGATATATCTGCAAAGGAATGGAATGACGTTGAAAAAGTTGTCAATTTTGATTATGATTTTGAGTACGAGGTAAAAAAAATTTTTTGATGATTTAGTTTTTAAACTTTTACTCTTTACCTTTTTTTTATTCTTATGGATCAGAAAAGTTCAGACTATTAAGTCCTCCTAATTATGTCATTATCGCGAGTTACTAAGTCATTACCATGTTTACTAGGATCTCATTATTAGACTATATTATTTTAGAATATATTTATTATTTATGCTACTTCAAATTATTATTTTTAAGGAAGTTGTTTTGAAAAAATCAAATGGGAAGTTTGGCCTATTACTTTGTGTAGGTGGTGATGAAAACGACGTAGCTGTTTACGTTGGAGACGTAAGTATTCCTTTTTAGTTTTAAATTTTTTTTTATTAAGTAGTAAGGTTCTATGTTATTTTTCTATTTTAATTGGTTCGTCAGTTTAAACAATACATTTAAAATGGTTGGTTAAGGTTACAGTATCATTGAAAAATATCATTAATATTTAAAGTTTTTTAAGAAAAATGTATAAATAAAAGTATATTTTTTTAATACCAATATTGTAACAGAGTAATTCTTTGCGACAAATAAGAAATTGTCTCTCAAGTAATTAACTTAAAATTTTGAAGAAAAATGATTCTTTGTTTCTATATTTTTTCAAAATCTTCAGCAAAACGCCTAAAATAAGATTTTTAGCTTATGATGACAGTCACCTTTTTTATTGCAACTACTTATTTTAAAACTATAACTTTAGATGCAATTATATACTGTAATTTGTTTGCATACTTTAGTTAGAGGAAGGCTCCGAGGCTGAAACTACGGGGAAAGTTATGGTTGGCGACCAAATTGTACAGGTATGAAGTTTTAGGTATGCTGCAACTTTAAAACTAAGTTGTTTTTGCTGATCATTATAATTTTTTTTAGTTATTGAATAGACGATTCTTGATTTTTTTTTAATAGATTAATGGCTGTCAAGTAAAAAATGTTGAAAATGCATACAAAATTTTACAAGAAAACGAGACCATTACTCTAGTGGTAGCTAGAGCAGTTTATGAGGTATGACCAAACTAGTATTCAAATATTCTACTTTACTGAACGTCTCACTCGTTGAAACCTACTTAAAACTCTTATGCTATGCCCACTAAAGAACAGCGGCAGCGCCAGCATTTTTTGGTCTTTGAGATAGCTAACTTCCAGGCATGGAGCAAACTCCAAACATTTATAAGTTTATATTTATGTAAAATAAGAATGCTTTGCAAAAAATTACGATGATTGGAGTTTGGGAACAAAATAACCCAAAAAATTTGGCCGACACTGCCCCAAGCGTGAGAGCAACAAGTTAATGAAATATTTTTGTACTATTTTCAACTAGACTTATATTTATCGATAAATTTTAAGTTTCGTAGTATTATCTCTCAGCGTTCAAAAGATATGACCATATAAAGTTTAAACCCCCTCAATTTAAGGGGGTTGCAAAAAATGCTGGCGTCGCAACTGCTAAAGAACGCAGGATTTTCTATGTTTTAGATCTGAAACTTTCAAACATTGTAAAAATTTTAAGTTTATGTAGGTTTATGCTTATGTCAATTGAGAATGTTTTGCAAACAATTTCTCATTAGACAAAAAATTAGAACCAGGGAACAAAAATACCCCAAAACTTCTGGTTGGGGTATTAATTAAACGTTTATTTAAGTTTAATTAATACCCCAAAAGCGTTTAATTAAGCTCAATTTCTAAGTTTGAGGGTAGTAGGTTAAAAAAGATTAAATTTATTAACTAAATTTAAATTCACCGTCAAATTTCAAAACTCATTTAATAACCTTTTAGTGGTCAAAAGTTACAGCTTTCTCATTTCCAGCTCCCTCATTTCCAGCTCATTTTCGGGAAAAAAATTTTCATATCTTTCAAAAATTTACATATCTTTACAAAAGCAAAAACCTATTCATTTGATCTGCAAAAAAAAAATTGACATATATAAAAAGTGATAGTTCATTTAGGTTTTCTACTTTGGCCCTGTTTTTTACTGATTAATACTTTTTATTTCGACCAATTAATGACGTTTTCATTTTTAATGGATTTTTTTTTACTTGTTTTTAGAGGTTTTTATATTCAACCAATATCACATGACTTACTTTTAACCAATTATAGATCATTTTCAATTTAACTAACTTGTCTGTATTTTAAACTATTTTTATACAATATTTTGCGCTATTGGCGAAGCGGAGTGTGCATACTTCAACACAGTGGCGTCGCTAGGAAGGTACTCCCTTGCTAACGATGTTTGGTGTCACGTGACACCAAAATGAATAAAAAGCAAATATGCGAGAACTTTTTTTCTAAAAGATCTTTTTATTTTTAGAAATTTTTAGATAAAGAGGACATTTTTTAGTTTCACCTTCCACCTGTTAGTCTAGAGGGGTGATACCAAAAGTTTACCGCACTGGTTGACACCAACCTCAGCGATGCCACTGCTTCAACAGACGCATTTAATTTTTTTTTAAATTTTTTAAAAACTTTTTGTTACCAGACTCCAATTATCGCAACTTTTTGCAAAGTATCTTTATTTAACAAAAGAATAAACTATAAATTTTTTTAGTTTGCTCCATATCTGAAAGTCATCTAAAACAAAAAAATACTGTATATATAAAATCCATGTATACAATAAAAATTAATAAACACATTTAACCAATATATTTTTCTTCTAGCAACAAAGTGATTGTTTTGACGAAGCAGAAGAGACTGATTTAGATTTATTAGATAGCATAAATGAAGAAGCAGAATCTCATTATTTATCTTTAAGTAATCCCGTTAAACTGTTAGATAACGCAACATATGATAATAAAGCGTTTTCTTATAAAAATCATATTTCTGAAAAATGTCAACATGCAAATGAAAAAAATTTGGGAATCGCTCCAGTTACAAATAATAATAATGATAATAATATTGAGCGTTTACGAGAGGAAATCATAGATAACACAAAAAGCGAAAAAATGACGTCAGTTTTAAAAAACTTTGTCCGAAATAAATTTGGAAATTCAGAAAAAACGGATAAGCGTTCTAGTTGCGGAAGCGACGAATCAAAAGATCAAAACAAAATACCTCGTTGTGATAGTAATTCGTCTTCTACAAGTGGGAAAAGCATTAAAACACAATTAAATGAAGAGTCAGCATTTATAAAAGAGCAGAAGCATTTATCAAAAATGAAAGCTTACTTAGATTCTCCTTCGATCGCAAGACACAGAGTAAATCAAAAAATTATTCAACCAAGATCATCAATCAATCTAGAAACTTATCAAGCAATAAGTTGTAGGAATACAAAAGAAGTTGATCAATGCAATTTACCTGTAAAGCAATTTTCTAGCACTTACACTTTGCCATGTACAGAAAATACGGATAAATCATTAAATAATCGCCGATACTGTGATAGTATTAGTAGTTTGCGTTCTTCTATGAAAACTAATTTAGTATCAAATAAAACTAAACCCGAGAAACATGTTCAAATAGACTCTCATCCAGGATGGAATGCTACCGAGAAAAGAGTTTGGGAAGAATTTAAAATAATACAAAGCATGGAAGCAAAAGAAAACTCACTAGATCCAACGAAAATAGAGGCTGAATGGAGAGTTCGGCGCTCCAAAGACGGAAAACATGTCTATATTAAAAAAACTAATTCAAACCGCAATAAAGTTTTAAAAGAGAGAGAGGATGAAATAAACAAAGAGCGTTGCGGCATGACTACCGATGACGATGCTTTTACTATATACCAAGGACAATATTGGGACCGAGATCAAAGAAAAAGACAGTTAGTGCGGCACCAAGATCGTCGTCAAAAACTTTTAGAAAAAGCTGCAATAAAAGCTACATACCAAAATGAAACTGGACGTAAAATTGCAGAATTTGTTCAACGAAATATGACGCTACCAGGTGCCGTATTTGATAATTTTATCACTATTGAAGAAATTTTATCTCAAAGGAACAGATCTGGAATATTTAATGGTCCTATACACGTCACAACAATATAAATTATTATTATTTTTTTTTGTAAAGATATTCATTTATATTTTCATGCACTCCCTTAATATAATAAATTAGTTGAAAAAATTATATTTCAAAAATCTCTTTGTTATTGTATATAACCAAAAGATTTTTTTAACATTTATTGTTCAATTTTCCTGAACTCAATTTAACAAAATAGTTTTTTATTTTAAAAAAGGTTTATTTATTACTTTTTCGTTTTAAGTTTTGAGTTTGTTTTAAAGTTCATAGTCTCAATTTTATAGCTGTTTAACTTTCTGTGTCGCTTAAATTTGTTTTTGTCTTCTAGAAAACTTTTAGTTGAGTTTTACGAGAAATTACTATTAGGAAACACTTGATTAAGTTTCCATTACTTGAAAAGAAAAAAGAAATTAGTTATACTATACATTAATTAAGATACCTAGTAATCAAATCTGCGCTAGACGCAAAAATACAAAATTTGTATTAAAAGTATATATATATATATATATATATATATATATATATTAAAGTTTAATTTATTAAAACAATCATGATCTTTGAAGCTATGATCTTAATTATGGTCTTTAATAACCCTTGATTTTAATACATAGGTGTTTATAAGCAAATCAAAATTTTTTTAGGAATAAATCTCTAAAATCAAAAGCGTATTTTGAAAGCACGAAATTAGAATGCTTTTGAAAGCACGAAATTAGAATGCTTATGTTTAATCGTGCTACTGGTATTTAATAGACACATTTTACTGGTTAAAGCAAATATTTTTATACATTCAAAGAAATAGACTTTTTTAATAAAATTTCTTTAATGGTTTTCTTTTTTTACTTTACTTTTAAATTACTATCTATGAATCATGTAAAGTACCATTTATACCAAGCATATAAAAACATGTAAATTATTGTTTATACTAAGCATATAAAAGCATATAAATTATCATTTGTTTTAAGCATATAAAAGCGTATCTATATATGCTTGATAAAAATTACAAAAGAATGCAATCATAATTATATCAAATGTGCGCCATTTTACACACTCTCAAAAATTGTATGGTACTTTAAGTATGCTTACCGTGTCTACCAATAAAATATAAACAAACTTTAATTCATTTTTTATTATATTATAAACTTTTCAGTGATTCTCACATTAAAAAATACAGCCATTTATAAATACATGTTATTTTAATTTACATTTTGTGTAGGTTTAAAAGCAGATAGGAAACTATTACTAGAAACCTTTCATTGAACCTCTTTTTAGCCACATTTATATATTACCTTGTCTTATTATGTTGCTTAAAATAAAACATGAAACATGAAGGTTTGTCTTGTTTTATAAAATAAAGTAAAGCTGGTTTTTAAAGTTTATGATTTTTTCATAATGAAATCAAAACTTTCAATTCATTTATAAAGATTCTTTTTTGATTTGTATTGTATGGCCCAGTGGGCATTTCGACGTCGAACGAACGTCGAGCGACGTCGGATCTCGACGTCGGATCGACGTTGGGTTTACGTTGGAAATGGAAATGTTATTTGACGTCGGGTAAACTGACATCGCGCGACGTCGGCATTCCGATGTAAATCCAACGTGTTTTTTGAAAACTAAAAAACATTGCCTTAAGCAGTAGTCGAACCTCGGTCTATAAGATACTAAATCCTACGCGCTTACCACTACACCACAATAATATATTGTTCCATGTGTTTATTTAGTAATTTATACTTGTAGCTATTTGGGAATTATTACTTTGATAAGAAATAATTTTGTTTAAATATTATATAAATATTAAAACGAATAGTTATATATTATAAAAAATGTATACTCGAAATGGTTAATAGTTAAAAAACTATGCTAGTGCATCATACAAAACCTCATGATGTTTTATCAACCATTATTCAAACTTTTTTCCATTAATAAAAAAACACGCTTAGTTCACATAATTATTGAAGAGCGCAATTGCACACATATTGTTGGGTTTGGATTAAATTTTCATCAGCGATGTCTTACGACGTTGTTCCGACGTCGTTTTAAGGACGTTGGATTGACGTCGGAAGACGTCAAAAGATATCGGAGTACGTTAATATTATGACGTTGCCCGACGTCTTTTTATCGACGTTGGATCGATGTCAGTACTGCGACGTTTTTTTGACGTCTTTTATAAGATGTCGAAACAACGTCAAAATACATCGAAACGACGTCAGGGGATGTTGAGATAAAGACATCGCCCGACGTCATTTTACTGACATCGGAACAACGTCGGAATAGGTCTTTTGACATCGCTGATGAAAATCGTACGTAAATCCGACGTCGGATTGACGTCGGGTGCCCACTGGGGGTTTACATCATTTGCATCTTTGCTTCGATCAACTTTAATCAACTGTAATTTTTAATTATTTCGAGTTTTTTTCTTCTTCGTTTTCTTTTTAAATACTAATATTAAAATTTACGATTTTTAAAAAATTAAAAAAAAAAATTAAATGGAAAAAAGGAAAAATAAACACTTTCTTATTCAGACATGCACCATATATCTTAGACCATATACCATATATGGTAACTTTAACGTGTATATCTATTGCTGTTGCATAAGATGTGCATTTAACATCAAATGTGGTTAATCTAACAGCACTTTATATTGTAGATTAGATATTGTAGATATTGTAGACTAGATATATTGTTTTAAGATATAGAGTTTAAAAATCAATTGCTAGAAATATAAGATATTATTTATGCAATGCTATGTCATTATAGAACTATATAACTGTACTTCTACATTTAAATATGTTGTACCGTATAGTTATTTTATAAGTATGGTTATAAATCATATAGTCATTTATACATATTGATTCAAAAGTGGCAACTTTTTCTAAAGAACTGTTAACTTTAGTAAACATCATAAATCAGCGTATAATAGAAAAATTAAACCATTCAGCTAGACTCCTGCAATATTAATCCAATGTTAATAACATAAAAAGACGATGAATCAAGATTATTGTTTATATAAGATAATAAACAAACTCAATAAAAAATATAAAGTTTAATTGTAAAACTTTAATGACACTTAAAAGCACATTTTATTATTTACCAACCACAAATGTAGGATCATTAGGCTCGTCTAGATTTTTTATTGCTTGAGCGGTAGCATTGGTGAGCAAAGATGAATTAACTAAAGTTTGTTCATTATTGAAAATTGAAGTACTATTTATGGTTGAATAAAATGTTTCTGGGGATTCAGCTTTGTCAAAATTATAACAACACATTACCATGACACCATCTTGAGGAAGTTCAAATGAATTATTTGAATTGGTAATTTCAATATTATTTGTTTTGTTGAGTAAATCAGATGTATCATTGTTGCAAAACTTATATTCGCATGGTGTAACTTTTGTTTGGTTTATCATTAATTCTTCATATACTTTATCTCGACAACATGGATTGCAACACGTTGAGCATCCTTTTACTTGTTTACAAATACATTTGTTTTGAGGTTTCCAACCGAATGGTCGAGGTGTAGGAAACGTTGTCTTGGTTGGTTCTGGGTATCTACCGTGTGAATTGCTACAAAAGCAGGAACACGGATGTTCTTTTGAAAAATAGTTGCAATTACAAGGATGGTTTGGCATTTGATGATGTATACAGCAAGGAGGAGAAACAAACTGCTGATGAACCCCCTCCATTGGTTGAATATACATACAACCATGTTCACATAAACAATCTCCTAGTTCTGTATTTTGTTGACAAGAACACACTGAAGCAATGCAGTGAACAGGTGTAACCTGACAGCTTGGCATACAGTTGCATAAAAAATTAGGATAGCTGCAACAGTTTTTACCGGAGTTATTGCAGCAACATGGTTTACAGCAGTTGTTACAGCAACATTGTGGTTGACATTTGCCACAGTCACATTCACATGGTTTGTGGCATTCTTTGCAACAACATGGTTTATGACAGTTATTACAGGTACATTCGGAAGAATTGCAATGCGATTTATGACCATCAGCATAATCACACCCTTCCGGAATATTACACTGACAGAATGTTATATTTAAAGGTACCTGACATTCTTTTGAATTTGGTGAAGCTTTAACGATATAAGCACTCCCGTCGTCTTCCATCGATTCCAAATCTTCGTATTCAATTTTTATTGGTAGCTGTTTGTTTTTTTCTTTCTTTTTGTCAATTTGTTTATCTATTTGTTTAATTTTTGACTTTTGCATAAAATCTTTTTTATTCAAAATAGTATTAGATACACCTTCATTTGATATTGGTAAAAACCAAACAAATTGTGTGAAACAAAGCAGTAGAATAACACAAACCAACATTCCATTCATTTTATTTGATTATCTTTGGCAAAAAAATATAAAGTTATGCATTAGTTTTATGTATGTATGTATGTACAGACAATGTATATATTTACATATGTTATGTATGTATGTATGTATGTATGTATGTATGTATAATACATATACATACATACATACATACATACATACATACATACATACATACATACATACATACATACATACATACATACATACATACATACATACATACATACATACATACATACATACATACATACATACATACATACATACATACATACATACATACATACATACATACATACATACATACATACATACATACATACATACATATATATATATATATATATATATATATATATATATATATATATATATATATATATATATATATATATATATATATATATATATATATATATATATATATATATATATATATATATAACTGTATGAATATTTAGTGAACTTTTGTTTAAAAACTTCACTTTCAAACATTTACAAAATCATTTTGGTCATGATTTGATCGCTGATAGAAGTAGAATAGAGTGCTGCAACGCCGTACACAAATATATATTATGTACTCTATTGATGTTTTGAAATACTTGAAAAACAAAAAATTTTATCAAAAGGTTATGATTAAAACTTTGCAGCCAATTTGTATTGGGAGGAAGAGGAGGACGGAATGGTATAAAAGTAACTTGTTTTTACATTGCACCTTATGCTATTTATTA